AAAGGAACAAAATAAAGATCCATCAACATTAAAAAAAAGTTATATTTCTTTGAATAGGGAAAGCTTTTAGGGATAAGGAATTCTGTTAGCTCTTACTTTACATACAAATTTGATAAGCTCAATAATGTTTCTTAGCTAAAAGCAGTTTAGCTAAAAATGAGTAAAGTATAATGTATCACTAAAAGCTGGACTTTTGGTAGCAGAGAAAATAAGTAGCTGATTACCTAATAGAGGCAAAAGGTGGGAAAATTTCCCTTCTATATTTATTCTCAACACTCAACACACTTAAAAAAACCATATATATATATATATATATATATATATTACACTTTTACACACTTTAATCATAACATCTTGAGTTTACCTGGAGAAAGCCTAATATATATATATATTTGGTTGCAGATGGACAATAGTACCTTTTATTTATTTTTTATGTGGTGCTGAGGATCAAACCCAATGTCTCACACGTGCTAGGCAAGTGCTTTTTCACTGAGCCACAACCCTAGCCCCTCAACACACTTTTGGTTGTTAAGATATATGGAGGATTTTTCCCCATACACCAAGCAATTCTCTAGCAGACATGAACTGGGAATCCTATAAAAATTCAGTTCAGTTCTGACACTACCTAACTCAAGTTAGAACAGATCCCGCACCTTGAATGCTCAGTCCTACAAAAGTGCCCCCACTTTGCATGCCAACCTCAAGAAGTTAGTTGTCACTTATACTCCTGACCACCTGACCACAAATTGGGGTTCTCACTACCCCTCCTCAGGTTTGATGAATTTGCTAAGTCACCTTAGAGAACTAAGGGAAACACTATATTTACCAATTTATTGCATCAATAAAGGACATTATAAAGGACCCAGATGAAAAGCTAGGTGTGGACCTGAATGCATTACTTTCCCAGCACGTAGATGTGTTTTAGTCCACAAGCTCCCCAAATTCTGTAGCTCAGGAATTTTTATGGAGCCTTCATCATGTTGGCATGATTGATTATTATCTCAGTTTCCAGCCCCTCTATTCCTCTCAGTGGATGTTTGGAGGCAGGAGGGCTGAAATTTCCAGCCTCTAATCATGGATTAATCTTTCTCTGACCAGCCCCAATCCAGGAACCCACCAAATTACCTCATTAGAAAAAAAGATACTTCTATTACCTAGGAAATTCAAAGGGATTTAGGAGCTCTGAGTCAGGAACTAGAGACAAAAAACAAGTATTGTTTATGTATGTGTATGCGTGTGCATGCGTGTGATACTTGGGATTGAACTCAGGATGCTCTACCACTGAGCTATACCCTCAGCCTTTTTATTAAAAAAAAAAAAAAAATTAAGACAGAATCTCAGGCTTGGGATGTGGGTCAAGCGGTAGTGTGCTCGCCTGGCATGCGTGCGGCCCGGGTTCCATCCTCAGCACCACATACAAACAAAGACGTTGTGTCCGCCGAAAACTAAAAAAAAAATAAATATTAAAAATAAAAAAAAGACAGAATCTCACTAAGTTGTTGAGGCTGGTCTCCAATTTGGGATCCTTCTGAGTCACTGAGATTATAGGCATGTGCTACTGCACTCAGACTAAGACTAAAGATTAAACAAAATATTTTTTCAAGTCTCCAAAGGCATTAGGAGTTCTCTCTGGGAGCAAGTGTGTGTACATTCTTTCAAAAAACAGACAATAATGGCAGGATATGAAGAGTTATTACTTAATTAGTGGAAAATTTTTCTTGAAATGGATAGGGTGATGGTCATACAACATTGTGAATGTACTTAATACTACTGAACTGTGTGTTTAAAATGGTTAAATGGTAAATTTTGCAATACACATATTTTATCATAATAAAAAAGTTTAATAAAAGGGTTCAAGTTTATCATTGAAACAGAGTTCTTGACTAGTAACTCTCAGCTGAAGTTCTGGAAGTTTGAAAAACCAAAATCTTCAAATAACAATAGATTAGGAGATCACCCTGGCTGACCCACAGAAATGGGTAACATATTTAAAAAAAAATTTTTTTAGTTTTCAATGGAACTTTATTTTATTTATTTATATGTGGTGCTGAGAATCAAAACCCAGTGCTTCACACATGCTAGGCAAGTGCTCTACCACTGAGACACAACCCCAGCCCCAGAAATGGGTAATATTTTAAACTTTTACACACTTTAATCATAACATCTTGAGTTTACCTGGAGAAAGCCTAATAATTCAGTGGTTCTAAGCTCTGCAGTTAGATCTATCAAGATTCAAATCCCAGTACTTTGATCTTGGGTAATTTACTTGGGTTCTCTATGCTTTAGGGTGCTATTATATAAAAAGGGATTGATAATATGGTCATTTTGTGGATTAAATGAGAGAATGCACAACCTTAGAGCAATACCAGGTATAGAGAAGCATACATGCAGTATATACATATGATTAACATATATATATACAGGTATATCTGTTAATCAATTTTTACACTGTGGTTTTACTACTATAGTAAGCTTTGTGCTCAATTGGCATTTTGTTATCTTAGCTGCATACATTATGTGCCTGATGATTTAATTTGTTAAAATTTTTGTCATTAACTATCCTACTATAGATATATATCAGAAAGTATAAGATAAAAATTACCTAGAATCACCATATCCATAGACTACCACTTTTAATATTGGGCTGTATACTATGTTTTGAACTTTAAAAATTATGAGTAAACAAATTATGAAATGAGAACTATACAAATTCTATCAGAATGCAAACTCCATTAGGGATAAATCTAACCATTTGCATACCATGATAACCCTAGTGCCTGGTTTAGTACATGGCTCATAGTAAATACTTAAAAGACAAGCAATAACAACTAAAAAGACAGTAGGAATGAATGACTTTTGTCAATAAATATGTATCCACAAAATCACTAATCATAACATTCTCCCATATGAGTATGTCATAGTTTTCTCCAACCAAGCCCAATCTTGGAAACTTGTTTGTTTTCAATTTGCCCTATTTACTCTTTTTAAAAAATTTATCTCTTCTATGAATTTTTTAAAAAGTTTTTTAGTTATCAATGAATCTTTATTTTATTTGTTTATATGTGGTGCTGAGAATCGAACCCACTGCCTCAAGGCAAGCACTCTACCATTGAGCTACAACCCCAGCCCCTCTATTCTTAAAGATGAAAACATTTTTAAATGTTTTTGAAATAGGCACAAAGAATAAGTAGCATACATTATGGAACTCTATCACCCAGAATCAACAACTTTTAAAATTTTGACAGTTTGATTCTGTTTTTCAAAAAAAACAAGCATTGTAGATATAGTAGAAGTCCTAATTTTTTTCTCTTGTCCAATTTCCTCCTTCCTTCTATACAGGCAACAGCTGTCATGTTTGGTGTGTACTTAGTAGTCTGTGTCTATACTTATATACAAAGTATGTGATTGGTACAGGTTCTGTGGATTTTGCTTATTTATAAATATGGTATAATATATATATATATATTTCTACAACTTGCTTTTTTGGGGGAGGGACCGGGGATTGAACTCAGGGGCACTCGACCACTGAGCCACATCTCCAGCCCTATTTTGTATTTTATTTAGAGACAGGGTCTCACTGAATTGCTTAGGGCCTAAGTTGCTGAGGCTGGTTTTGAACTCACTATCCTCCTGCCTCAGCCTCCCAAACCACTGGGATTACAAGCATTGCCCAGCAACTTTCTTTTCCTTAAAAAAAAAAAAAGACTCACATTGGTTTTAATTTCTGTCTACAATCATTTATCCTCTGGCAAATATAGTTAGTCCCTTTTATTTCATAATATTCTTCCTTTGACTAAAGCCCCCCCCCCCCCCCCCCCCCCCGCTGCAAGTAAGTTTATGCCTTTGAAGACAGCACAGGGAAGGACCTAAAAACACACATGTAAATCTTCTGGCAGTCAGGCATGTGGCTTGAGGCTAGGTTGGAGAAAGTAAGGTGAGTGTAAGAGTGAAAAGATACACAGGTTAATGCAAGTGGGGCTCAGATTTTATAGAATATTGGAGACTTATTCTGCTCCCAATACTGTCCAAAATATCTGGATAACAAACAGGATAAGATTGAAAAACGAAACTGCATTCGAAGCTGCTTAACAATGTTTAATTATTGCAAAAAACAAAACACAACAAAACAACACACACACACAAAAAAAAAAAAAAAAAAAAAAAGCTGAGACTAAATGATCTTCAGTATTGTTTCTTCTGAAATTAAAACTTAAAATGTCACAAGTTAATTAATTAAAGAGGAAATTAGATTGAGGAAAAACTGCATTAGTCCTCACTGTCAATGTCACAGGCTATAGGTGGTAGGAAGTATGATGTTAAAAGGAGAGCCAAAAGTAGATTTAAAAATTTGGCATCCCTTCTATTATTTCTACTCTGCATCTTTGCACAATGCCTGCTTATGTCCTTGAGCCAAATCCTCAAATACAAATATAATGGAGTGGCTGAAGTACAAAAACCACCGTCTCACTTGTTGATACATACATTACTGTTTTGTTCTTTACAAGCAAAACATGTTTCATAAAATGTATATGGGGGAGATAGTTGATTAAATCATACCTGGTTAACTTTTATATATGTTAGATAGCTTTTTTTATTACTTGAGTCATGTTCCCAATAGCTGTTCCTACTTTCAGTGACTGGCACCTCGTTGGCAACTTGCAGCTTCCTCGGGCCCGCTAACTTACTTTTTTCACCAAGAATGGTATGAGATGTGGCTTTAACGACAGTTACCAACTTTGAATACAAGTAGTGGAGGGGTCAATACAAGTACAGTGGAAGGAGAATGACAAGAGCGCATCAGGGTCCGCGGGGCCTGCCCGGCTCCCGCAGGCCAGCTGAGAGGCCGCGGGCAGGTGGCGTCGGTGGCTGAGGCCCGCAGCGGCTGCTGGGCCGGGCTGGACGGGGCGGAGCGGCCGGCTGCTGAGGAGCAAGGGCCGCAGGCGCCCCGCCCGGGCTGGTATGCGGCCGAGAGTGACGCGGGAGGCGGGGTCACGTGACGCCCGTGGAATGCCAACAATGTAGCGAATGTCCCACTTGGGTCTGCGCGTTGGAACCGCGGCGTGAGTGCCCCGGGAAGATGGAGCAGCCGCCGCCCGCGCCACCGCCGCCGCCTGGGGCTCCCCCGTCCCTGCGGAGCCAACAGCAGCTCCAGCCACCGGCGCCTGGTCTCCCGGCGCTCGAGGCCCAGGAGCCGCGGGCCAGGACGCCCCCGAGGCTGTAGACCGCGCCCCAAGAGGTGAGGGGGCCGGGGCCGGGACCGGGAGGCGTGGGGCAGCGGGCGGCGGCCGGGCGGACGAAACTTTCCGGGGACCGGCAGGCTCTAGGCGCCCACCCTCGTGCTGCTGCAGACCACGGCTCAGGGAAGGACGTCCCTGCTCGGCGGGGAGGCTGGGTGCAGGAGCAGGGAGCGGGCGGCCAAGGAAGTTTGTCCAGACGGGAGCTGCGCCCTGCCCCCACGGCCCCGGCTCGGCCCGGCCCAGGGGCCGCCTCCGCCCTGCCGCGGGTTGTCGCGGGCAGTGGGGATCCTGCCGGGCTAGTTCCTAGGAGCCGGAGAAGTTGGGACAGAACGCCGGGCCTGCGGAGAGCGCGTCGGGCGGGGGCCGGCGGGGCTGCACCGCTTTGTTGTGCAGCGGCTGGGCTCCAGGCTCCTGGCTGGGCAGGGGCGGCCGCGGGCCGGGGGCGGCGTCTGTGACGCTCTGGACCCGAGAGGCAGGCAGCGCAGGGCACGTCTCCACCTCCACCGTCCGGTGGGATGGCGGCTCGGCTTTTACCCAAATGCCCGGTCCGGCGCCCATGGCAGCACCAAGACCGCGCGTCTTGCTGCACCTCGGTCCCACAGAGCTGAGGCGGTCCCCTCTGGCCGTGCCGCCGTATCGGGGGCCAACCAGTTCCGCACCCGGCCACCGCGGGCGCGCGCCTTCTCCCCTGGGTGCTCTCTCCCCGCCCAGTCCACTCCCCACTCGCCCACGGGCACGCTGTCGTCGGGATCCCTGCAAGCTGCGCCCGCTCCTGCCCTCTTCAGCTTCTCTGTGCCTCCATCGGGTGCCCTACTGGCCGCGCCGTCCACCTCGCGGGCCCATACGTCCCGCCGAGGCTGCGCCGCTGTTACCCGGACAAGCTGTGCTCCGGCTCCCCGGACCCGCACAGACCACGGGGCGAGCCGGCGGGGAGCCAGGCCCTGCCCGGCGTCCGCTCGCGCGACCCTAGCGAGTTTCCCGGGTCTTGGCGGGACTCGGCCAGAGCTTCAGGAGCGCTTGCTTTCGTGGCTGTGAGAGCGGGGCCGTTGCATAACACGCCTTTCCTGCGTCCTAGTTCAGCTGACTTTTCTGGGACTTGTCTTTCACTTCTGATGCAACCTCACCTGCAGTTAGTTTCTTTTGCCGGCCTCCGGACATGCGGGTCTTGACAGAATCCGCCTCTTGCCGGTCGCTTTTCCTGCAGCCTACCTAACTCAGGCACCCAGGAGGATCTTCTTGGAGATGAAGTCCGGCAGGGCGGCCGGCCTAGAGCAAATCTTTCGTTTGTGGAGCCCAAGGCTCCACTGCCAGGGATAGTAGTAGCACTCCAAAAAGGCCAGGGTCCTGGGTGACCTGGGCTGCGGGCAGCGTGTTCTGAGGTCCTCAGATGAAAGTACAAGCATCACTGTGATTTCTAGATTTTTTATTGGTGAGAAGTTTTCACATTTTCATCTTTCTCTATCATGGACTTTAGTGTCCTTAAGGTAATAATGTAGGCTTTAAAATTCTAGCCTTACTATTAGCTTGAGAGTATTACATTGGCAGGTAAAAAATTCAAATTCATAGCCCAACAGCTCTCTTCACAAACAATTCAGCAAATATGTACATTTTTAAAGGAAAGTTTGCCCGCATTTATTTAAAAAAACTTAAATTTACTGAAATTTAGGTGGAAGACGGCAAAAAATGTGTGTGATCCTACACAGGTGTTCTGCTTAAAATTTTACCCTAGCAGATTAGGGGCCTTTTGGTAATCATGGAAAAAGCAACGAGTGGCTGTTTATTATTAGGAAATTTGTATGAAAAGATCTTGTTCTATATTTTAGTTTAATACCAGCTTAAATTTGAATGATGCCCACCATTTTTGAGTGCTAAATCAAGAGACAGCTGCTTTTTGTTTTTTTCTTTAGCAACTGTTGTAATAAGGTAGTAACAAAAATATTCCAACGTAAGAATGCAGAGACTGTTCAGAAAGTCTGTTTAACTGTAATAAACAAGGCATTCTGTTATTCAGCCTCTCAAAAATTTTGTCTCATTAAGTAAGTGTAGAAAACACTGCCGAATGAATCTACCAGCATTCCTTTGAGCTTAATAAATTTCAAAATATCAAGCAATTTAAAATGGTATCTGAACAGAGGCCATCATGCAAAAAATATTAAGACAAATTACTAGAATCATTTGTAGAACTGGAAGTGATTTTTCTAGCTTCTCGATCTAGTTTGAAATAGTTTGATAAATGTAAATTGGAACTGTACATATTTTTTTCCTTAGCAAATCATCTAGTTGTTGGGAGGGATTTTCCTTTGGTGGGAGGGGAATGCTTTTACAATATGATGCCTTGTTATTTTAAATGCTATGTTGTAAATAGCCAGCCCTGGGCTCCTAAAACCCATAGGAGGATGGAATGGGGGCTGAAGCTGATCAATTCATTCTAAACACATAGGAAGGATTTGGAGTGGGGGGTGGTGTTCTGCTTTGTATTGAAAAAACCAGATCAATACAACTTTTGAAAAGCTGCTTTTGTATTCATTTCATGGTTTTAATAACCTGAAACTTGTAAGCAATATTCCTTACTGGCCTTTTAAAAATAGGGAACTTGAAGAAATGCAAAAAATAATCAATGCATTTTTGTCTTGACTGAAAATTTGTTCTAAAAGGGGTAAAAAATCCTGACCCACAGAACGAAAGAATCGGGCCTGAGACCCTGTCTTCTAAATAAAATATTATAAAGGATTGGGGATGTGGCTGAGTGGTTAAGTACCCCTTGGTTCAATCCCCAGTACAAAAAAAAAAGCCTATTGCCTAGTAATTTCTCTGGACAGACTACGCCTCCAAATTGCACAAGTTCTGGGCATTGATCCCATTGTATGCTAGGTCGGTGCCCCCCTCTATGAAGGGCTCCTGGAGTTTGAAGGCAGCCTCTCCTTTTTCCTGTACTTTTAAGGCCAATGTTATTTGATTTATTGTTTCAATTAGAAACTATCAATAAAACAAAATAATGTTGTAAATAAAAATAATTGATAGTGATGCTAAAATTAGGGTAGAAGTTTGGCATTGCTTAATGTTTGCCCTTCACTGCAAAGACTTTATGTTGGTTATGGTCTAGACCGTGTCAACTTAATTGTGACAAGTGGTTTCTTTTAAGTTAAATAGTTTTTGTTGTTGTGCCAGTATTTGACATTAATAGGATTTTTTTTTTTTCTGGTGGATGAATGGAAAATCTTGTATTTCAAAGCGTTGATTTGTGTTTGTTGTTCACACTGATTGTTACGATATTGTGGCAGATCCTATAGGACCTAAATCAGGATGGTAAGGTCTTAAAATAGTTGAGTGTAAGTTGGATTTTGAATGGAGCAGGTCTCAGTTTGGAATAGCAAGCTTTGTTGCCCCCAGGCGTTATCTTGAGTGGGAATGCTAAGGGCCAGAACTTTCCATTACTAATTAACTCCATCTTACCTCCTAAGTCTCACTCCTGTTTTTTTCATTAAATATCCCTAGACAGCACTTGCCCCCACCCCAACAATTGTCTGCCTGTTCATTTTTCTTTTGTATGTTTGAGCCTTTTTACAGGAAGTTCCAGACTCCAAGAATAGCTTCACACTTCCTCCATCAAATCATAGCCCTTCAGCCTTTCCAATTTTGGTGCAACATCCTTTCTCTAGAAGGCTTTCTCCAAATAATCTCAACACCTTCCTGAACAGGGCTCCTCCAGAGAAGGAACAGTGCTCTTCCATAACCATGTGTGAAGGGGTTCTTGGGCAGTCACAGTATTTATATCTATGTCCATGGCAGCAATTTTCAAACTAGGGAGTTGGAGCATTTCTGAAACTTGGAGGGGTGGAGCAGAGAGGGCAGGGCTTTCTCAAAGATAGAGAACCTGCTGGGATAGCCTTGACTCTAAGGAGACCCATCCTGTTCACTTGCTTGCTTGCTGTTAAGAATGCTGCAAAGAACTAATAATAAATTTATCTTCAACCTGGTCACTCACTTGAGATATCTTGAGTACAAAGGTCTCCAGCTCCATTTATTTAAAATGCCATTGATTCTTGCATAATTTGTATCATACAAATACCATATACAAAGGTGTCTAACAGAGAATATGGTGATCCCCCTCCCCCCCAAGACTGTAAGCTTATTTAGAGGCAAATCCCTGTTTTCCCTGTGAAAGCTCATAATGTCCTCCAACACTGCTAACCTCCCCCTTCCCCCAGGCTTTGTGATGACACTATTTATGGGAGAGTGGGAATTCTAGAGGGTTCTCCTAAATCCCCAGAGGAATGCAGTCACTGCTTTCCTCAAAGACCCTCATTATTGGGGGTAGCCCTTAGCCTGTGGCTTCCTGGCCTGGACCAAGCTAGAGTGGGACATCCGCATGGTGGTTCATGATTCTGACATTTAGCATCTGGCTTGAGGCCTGGCCCATCTGCCTGATTTAGTTTCAGCTTTGCTAGTTAATTATAGTAGGGATATGATTTAAATAATAACTTGAATTTTAGGTCCAAGAAATACTTTAAAAAAAAATGCTGATGTGTCTCATTAGCATGGGTCCCCCAGGACATGGGTTAGATTGGTTCCCTGGTTGGTGCTTGATGTGTGTTTGGCTCATGAGGATTTGAAGCACTAAGAGAATTAGAATAAAAATTCTTGAACATCTGATAGCATTTTTCAGGATTGGATTGAGGATTGGAAATGGGTTTGGTAGGACCAAATTAAAGGGATGCTTAAAATATTGCTCTCACATTGGTTACATAAGCCACCTATGCTCAGCTAGTCAGCTCCAGATTTGACAATGAGGTGTTTTTGTTTTATAAGTTTTTACAGCTTTAAAATACCAAAATCTTTTAGTTTCTTTTAAATCATTTTTAAATCAATTGATGATGCTAAAGAAATTTCAAAAATTAGACTTACTTTGGTTAATATCCCCATTTTTGAAAGTCCACATTCCTGAGAGTCATATTTATAAAATTCTTGATGAAAGAAAATTTCCAGTAGGTCAAATCTT